AAAATAAGACACTGTCTCATGATGTAGCCCCAGCTGTCCCAGAACTTTCTATAGACCAGGCTGGCCTTGAACTCACAGAGATCCACCTGCCTCTGCCTCCAAGTGCTGGGATTAAAGGCGTGCGCCACCAGTGCCCAGCCCTTTCTTTCTCTGAACAGGGTCTTATATATCCTGGCTGGTCTCAAACTCTTTGAATTTCTCTTCCCGCTTTCAACCCCCAAGTACTGCAGTTACAGAAGTACACACCACACCCTGCTTACATGGTGCCGAGGATCAACCTCAGGGCGTTGTGAATGTTAGTCAAACACTGTACCAACTAAGCAACACTCCAGCCCAGAATGGGCCATTTCTTTGGGGAGAGTGGATTGATTTTAGCAAGAGAGGTACCACAAGAAGGACTTCTCTCAAAATGAGTCTAAGATTCAGCAGGAGGTGTCCCAGCCAAGCTTTTAGCACAATCATATGATCAGAATGAAGGAGGCTAAGACAATAGAATCCTAAATTCAAGGCCTGTATGGTCTGCCTAGTAAGATCTTGTCTCAAAACAAAAAATAGAAGGACTGGATATGGAGCTTAGGGGCGGGATGCTTGCCTAGCATGAGAGGCCCTGGTTCCATCCCCAGAACCAAGGAAGAGAGTCCCTTAGAAGAGAGAAATGGATTTTTGATGGGTGGGAGCAGGGAGTAAGAAGTGCTTGCCTTGGTAGACAGGGTCTGGACCACCCATGCTGGAGGGACTTCCTGCAAATTCAAATTGAGAGGGTTTTTGTTTTTGTTTTTGTTTTGTTTTTTTGGTTTTTTTTGTTTGTTTGTTTTTGGTTTTTGGTTTTTCGAGACAGGGTTTCTCTGTGTAGCTTTGCGCCTTTCCTGGGACTCACTTGGTAGCCCAGGCTGGCCTTGAACTCACAGAGATCCGCCTGGCTCTGCCTCCCGAGTGCTGGGATTAAAGGCATGCGCCACCACTGCCCAGCAAGCTTTGTGTTTCTTATTTAATAAGACCATTGGGAAATTCGACTACACAACTATAAGTGTAGGTTTAGCATAACACTTATGAAATTGCCTGA